TGGTAGAAATAAGGGTTTAGCACTGGTTGAACTAAGGAAACAGTACTTTGGGAGAAAATAAGGTATCAGTCACTGGGTAGAAAATAAGGTATCAGTCACTGGTCAGCATAAAGGGATCAGTCACTTGGGAGAACATAAGGTTCAGTACGGTCGGAAAAATAAGGGTCAGTCACTGGTCGAACATAAGGTTTTTTGTCACTGGGAAAACTTAAAGGGATTTTGTCCCCTGGGTCGGGAAAAAGGTATCAGTCACTTGTAGAACATAAGGTATCATTTATTGGGGAGAACATAAGGTAACAGGCCTGGGGAGAAAAATTAAGGGATTAGTCACTGGAGAACATAAGGGTTTTTGTCACTTTTAAACATAAGGTATCATCAATGGTACAACATAAGGTATCAGTTCCCCTGGTAGAACATAAGGTATCATTTCCCCCGGGGAACAAAAAGGTTCATAATGGTAGAAAAAAGGTATCAAATCACTGGGACAAAATAAGGTATCATTTCCGGAGAACTAAAGGGAAACAGTCGCCTTTAGAACATAAAGGGATCAGTCAAATGGTAGAACTTAAAGGTTTAGTCATTTTTAAAAACAAAATGTTCAAATAACTGGGGAAAAATAAAGGGAAACAGTCACTGGTATAAAATTTAAGGGATCAGTCACTGGTTTGGGAAAATAAGGATTTATTTAATGGGGAAAAACACAAAGGATCAGTCAGGAAAAAACATAAGGGATCGTCACTGGTAGGAAAAATAAGGTATCAGTCCTTTTTAGAAAATAAGGTTTCAGTATTGTTAAAAACATAAGGTATCAGTCACTGGTGAACCAAAAAGGGATCGGCCTTGGGAGGAAAAATTGGGGATCAGTCACTGGTAGAACAAAAGGGATCAGTCACTTGTAGAACATAAGGTATCATTTACTGGTAGAAAATAAGGGGGATCATCCCCTGTAGAAAAATAAGGTAAACGTTTTAATGGTAGAAAATAAGGGGATCAGGGACCTGGAAGGGAAAAAAAGGATCAGTCACTTGAAAAACATAAGGTTTTCAGTCCCCTGGGAGAACAAAGGTACAGTCCTGGTAAAAAACAAAGGTAATCTTTTTTTGGGGAAACTAAGGTATCCCCCCAATGGTAGAACATAAGGTTTTCAGTCAATGGTTTGAACTAAGGTACAGTCACTTGTAGAACAAAAAGGTTAAACAGGGCACTTGTGAAAATAATTAAAACATCATGGTAGAACATAATTTTCAGTCACTGGGAAAAACATAAAAGGTTCAAATCAGGTGAAAATAAAGGGATCGTCACTGGTTTGAACATAAGGGATAGTCACTTGTAAACATAAGGGATCATCACTGGTAGAACATAAGGTAACAGCACTTTTAGAAAATAAGGGGAAACAGTCACTGGTAGGAAAATAAGGTATCATTTCCCCCTGGTAGAAAATAAGGTATCAGTCACTGGTCGAACATAAGGGATTTAGTCATGGTTTGCCATAAGGTAAACAAATAATTTGGGAGAACATAAGGAAAACAGTCACTGGTTGAACATTTAAAGGGATCAGTCACTTGGGAGAAAAATAAGGTTTCAGGGCACTGGTAAAACATTTAAGGAAACAGTCACTGGGGAAAACATTAAAGGGGGCGTCAATGGTAGAAAATAAGGTATCATCAAGGTAAAAACATAAGGTATCAGTCACTGTTAGAAAAATAAGGGATTTAGTCATGGAAAAACATAAAGGGATCCCGTCACTGTTTTAAAAACAAGGGATCAGTCCCCTGGGAGAAAAATAAGGAAACGCACTGGTAAACATAAAGGGATCATAAATGGTAGAACTTAAGGAAACAGTCAGGGAAAACAAAAAGGGATCATCACTGGTTTGAAAATAAGGGATCAGTCCCCTGGTTTGAAAATTGGTTTTCAGTTTACTGGGTTTCAACAAAGGTATCAGTCACTGGTTTGAAAAAATAAGGTAAACAGTCCCCTGGTACAAAAATGAGGGATCAGTTTACTGGAAACATAAGGTATCAGTCACTGGTACAACATAAGGGATCAGTCACTGGGGGGAAAATTTTGGGGATCAGTCAATGGTAAAACATAAGGTATCAGTCAAATGGTAGAACAAAAAGGTATCAGTCACTGGTAAAAATAAGGTATCAGTCACTGGAAAAACATAAAGGGATCAGTCACTGGGAGAACAAGGTTTCGTCATTTTAGAAAAATAAGGTATCAGTCACTTTAAAAACATTTTCTCTCTTGCCTTTTTATAACTAAACATCATGCTGTTTTAAAAAACTTTAACCAGACACAGAAAACCTGCACATACGAGACTGAAAAATAACACTTTTCGGCCCTTCTTTAGACCATTAAACAAAGTCTCACTAAAAAAAGGTAACTAGTTAACAGCCCAAAGTCGACCGAATATATGCTTGATATGCATTGTGGGTTTGCCCTAAGTGCAAGTAAATGCAAACATCCCAAAACCTTTGCACGTTTTAGCAGAAAAAAGACACCATCAACCGCCACGTAAAACAATTCAGGTTTTGTTTTAACTCACTTGGATACGGTGTACCTCCCTGGTGGTTGCTGTCTCCCAAAACCTACTACCTAAGAAATATTTTTTGTTGTCATCATTTGAGAGCGACAAGCCCCAAGGGTCATTCAGAGCGTGGGAATGGGATTAGCTGAGTTTTGATCTCAGTAATGTATAAGCCCATAATACAGTACGACACATGAGCCTTTCAGCTGGTTTAATGGTTGCAACTAATCTGTAATTCACTCGGGTCCTTAGATTCTGATGCCCCTCCATCGGGAGATGATATTTGGTTTCCAAAAACTTGTAATCGCACATCGGTCCCCAAATGATTGGGGAAAAAACCCCCCACAAGAATTGGGGAAACGGTTTGACGTTAGTCGATAGCCTAGAAGTAACAGTAATCTTCCCCTCGGTTTCCACTTCAAGGGGCAAAGTGCTACCCCAGGCTTCGGTGACGGTTGATCTCGGGTTTTGAACAGACCTTATGTCACATACAAAAAACAAAAGGCACAATACCTTTACTGGTACTATAATTAAAAAAAACCCACACAAAAACAAAGCTTACGATGACATTTCGGTCCGACTTGGACCATTTAAAAAGCCCCCACACTCCGGGATAGGGAGCCGGGGGTTTATAAAAAAAGGGGGGGAAACGGGGACGGGCCAAGAGAGGTAGAAAAGAGTAGGGTAAGGCTGGTAGTGGAAACATTAGAGAAGAAACAGAGGTATAAATGTAGGGAAAACAGTTAGTGGCCAGATAAAGGGACAGAGGCCTACACAAGCCTTGCGAAAAAACCCGGGGGTTAAGCTTCTGAACTGTTTCCCAAAAAACTCCCCATATCCCCGGATCAGTGAGGACAAGATTGGTTTAGGTTTTTTCGAACCATACCACAGTATCAAGAAGGGAAAGGTGTGATTCAACCTCGCTCTTCCACCTTTTTCCTTAACGCTTTTGTCCAGTTACAGACTTTACTAGTGAACTTTCATCATATCTTCCCCTACTCACCGTACATAATTCACTGAGGGTTAACACCTTTATGCTTAAAAATACGTGTATGGGGGAAACGTCATTTTTGATAAAAATTTTCCTACCAAAAGGGCGTTCTACCACATTGTCCCCGACAAAACCTGACATAGAACAGAGTGTGTGGGACCCAAGACCCGGGGAAGCACCAATGGGCCGGTCCTCTTCTTGCTTTAAAAACGGGAAACGTAAAAAAAATACGAGACATACAGAATCCCGGGGAAAAAGACGTAAATGGGTTTCACAAGGAAGAAAAAATTTCCAATTTCCCTTTATCAAAAGTTCTTAAACCCCGCAAAAACGAAGTTTCTTGAAGAGATACTGATTTAAAGGGCTTCTTAAAAAATCTTTTAGAGGCGAACGTCTCGTCATTTGTTTCGCTCGCCGCAAGACAAAATATGAAGTGTATTTGCACTAAGAACTCGCGAGGATCTTTTTAGTCTTTAAATACAATATATATAAAAAAAGATTTTGTTCGGTTTTTAACCCCGGGGGTTAGCCACCTAGGAAACCCAAAAAAAGGGAGTGTGTCATCGAGGGACGTATGTCAGTTTCCTTGGGGGCTCCCAATTTGTCCCCCCCAAAAGCCCAACTAGTCGACTAACAGTCAGGGTACCTATTTGCTACTAGGTTGAACAGGGCAACAGGTGTAAGGGGAAACGCGTCGAAATGTTTTTCCCCCCCCGGGAATCGAACCCCAGAGCTTTTAGCCCTTTCACGGGGTAGTGGCGTGGTAAAGGGGCGGTGGGGGCAGTAATAGAAGTACTATTTAATCAAGAGCGGCCTAGGGTCTTTATTAGTGGAAGGAGGCTGTAGCCTCACGCTGCACCCTATCAAGGGAGGTTCCTTGATGCTTGTGGGGGGGATATTTTAAAAAATTTTAAAAAAAGGGGGAACGTAAACCCGGAGGATTATACAGCGCCTGGGGGGGGATGTGGAAGACATTCAGGCTTAATTCGGGGAACTGGAGCACAGATCCAATTCCCTAAATCAAGAGCCCCTCACCAACATCAAGGAACCTTCCTTGAGGGGTGTGATGGGGGGAGAGAGTGTTCTCGAACATTAGTTGTCATTATTTTAGGTACACTGTAAGGATAGTGAGGAGACCGCCATGACAGTGATGGTCTCTTGATCGAAGGAATTGATACTGTAGGATGGGTTTAGCGATTCTCAACTTAATAATAATAATATATAAACTACCAGGAAGGCCCGTATGGGAATGTGTGAGCGGAGGATGGTTAATTAATGGGGTTTAAAGCCGTTCAACTGTACGAGGATCATTAAGGCTGCACGTCACCTGTTCATCATACAACAATACTTAAATTTCTGAAACAGTGTTTAAATTAAACTCTCAGTGTATGTTCACTGAGAGATATAAACTTCTCAGTGTATATATCCTGTGTATGAGAGACGAACATGAAGGATGACTAAGAGAGTGTACCGTACCTCGTTGATACACTGTTGAGCTAGAGAGGGAGTGCACCGTACCTGGCTGGTGGAAGTCTGGTGCATACTGTTTAGCAAAGACTCGAGCAACATCAGAATCCTCTCTCGCGTGCACGCCTGAAATATCTGCTTGTTCTGCCTTGCCGCGTGCAGTTGCCGTCCTGTGGGAGGTAACAAGCATTAACCCACATGAGCAACACACGAAAACAAATAAGAAACATAAACACGAACATCTAAACTCTCTTCACCGAGGCAAAAGGACAGTACGCCTGTCAAGGCTAAGGGACTGATTACCATGTCTTCCACTGTCTCTAGTATACTGCTGTAGCTTAGAAATGAACTGAAAAGCCACTGGCTGGCGAGACTTGTTCATAATACACGTTCTTTGTACATGGGGACCAAACCAGGTCCACCTCAGAAGCTGACATGAACTCACAAGAGTACAGTAGATTTCCGTCTTCCGTTGGAGATGCTGAAGATAACATCACTAATGGGAAGAAATAACCACATGATGTTTTCCCCTGTGTGTCATACGCACACACGTGTCTATGTGTGTATAAATAAATAAATGTATATATATATATATATATATATATATATATATATATATATATATATATATATATATATATATATATATACATATATGTGCAAGGAATTCGCGAGAGCAGGCGAAATATACACAAACACTGATCTCTGGCTGAAGGAGACTCGAACCTACGAACCTTAGGACAAGGTACGCAGTGCTTTACCAGTCTACCCACACTGGACAATACCTTGGCGTGTAGCATGCGCTACACGTTTGATCCAAGGCAGCCAGCTTTCAGGGAGAAGGCTTACAGCTTTTCATCTCATCCCCTGCAGAGATCAGTGTTTGTGTATATTTCGCCTGCTCTCGCGAATTCCTTGCATTGTTCAAATCTCTAGTAAGGCTGATGCATGCAGGGGATGAGAAGAAAAGCTGTAAGCCTTCTCTCTGAAAGCTGGCTGCCTTGGATCAAACGTGTAGCGCATGCTACACGCCAAGGTATTGTCCAGTGTGGGTAGATTGGTAAAGCACTGCGTACCTTGTCCTAAGGTTCGTAGGTTCGAGTCTCCTTCAGCCAGAGATCAGTGTTTATATATATATATATATATATATATATATATATATATATATATATATATATATATATATATATATATACGTCGTGCCGAATAGGCAGATCTTGCGATGTTGTTAGGTAAGACACATATGCAACAGTTAGACAACTTTATTCCGAAACGTTTCGCCTACACAGTAGGCTTCTTCAGTTGAATACAGAAAGTAGGCAGGAACAGTAGAGATGTGAAGACGATGTAATCAGTCCATCACCCTTGAAGTCGTAGAATTTGAGGTTGTCAGTCCCTCAGCCTGGAGCAGTTCAGTTCCATAGTCAGAAACTATCTGAAGATCAAGCGACAGTGCAGAGACTTAAATACTGTCGGAAGGAGAGGTGCAGAGTAGTAGTAGTAGTGAAAAATGTAGCCACTGAGAGGTCATGTCCCTCTCAGATCCAACCCTTTTCACTTGAAAAGCTTGTCCAAGGTGTTTTCTGTACCAAGATGCCATGTGTTGCAGTGTCTGACAGGATGAACATCAAAATGGTATACAATACCGACAGGTTGTTAGGTAAGACACATATGCAACAGTTAGACAACTTTATTCCGAAACGTTTCGCCTACACAGTAGGCTTCTTCAGTCGAATACAGAAAGTAGGCAGGAACAAAAGAGATGTGAAGACGATGTAATCAGTCCATCACCCTTGAAGTTGTAGAATTTGAGGTTGTCAGTCCCTCAGCCTGGAGCAGTTCAGTTCCATAGTCAGGAACTATCTGAAGATCAAGCGACAGTGCAGAGACTTAAATACTGTCGGAAGGAGAGGTGCAGAGTAGTAGTAGTAGTGAAAATGTAGCCACTGAGAGGTCATGTTAGTTCCTGACTATGGAACTGAACTGCTCCAGGCTGAGGGACTGACAACCTCAAATTCTACGACTTCAAGGGTGATGGACTGATTACATCGTCTTCACATCTCTACTGTTCCTGCCTACTTTCTGTATTCAACTGAAGAAGCCTACTGTGTAGGCGAAACGTTTCGGAATAAAGCTGTCTAACTGTTGCATATGTGTCTTACCTAACAACCTGTCGGTATTGTATACCATTTTGATGTTCATCCTGTCAGACACTGCAACACATGGCATCTTGGTACAGAAAACACCTTGGACAAGCTTTTCAAGTGAAAAGGGTTGGATCTGAGAGGGACATGACCTCTCAGTGGCTACATTTTCACTACTACTACTACTCTGCACCTCTCCTTCCGACAGTATTTAAGTCTCTGCACTGTCGCTTGATCTTCAGATAGTTCCTGACTATGGAACTGAACTGCTCCAGGCTGAGGGACAGACAACCTCAAATTCTACGACTTCAAGGGTGATGGACTGATTACATCGTCTTCACATCTCTACTGTTCCTGCCTACTTTCTGTATTCGACTGAAGAAGCCTACTGTGTAGGCGAAACGTTTCGGAATAAAGCTGTCTAACTGTTGCATATGTGTCTTACCTAACAACCTGTCGGTATTGTATACCATTTTGATGTTCATCCTGTCAGACACTGCAACACATGGCATCTTGGTACAGAAAACACCTTGGACAAGCTTTTCAAGTGAAAAAGGGTTGGATCTGAGAGGGACATGACCTCTCAGTGGCTACATTTTCACTACTACTACTACTCTGCACCTCTCCTTCCGACAGTATTTAAGTCTCTGCGCTGTCGCTTGATCTTCAGATAGTTCCTGACTATGGAACTGAACTGCTCCAGGCTGAGGGACTGACAACCTCAAATTCTGCGACTTCAAGGGTGATGGACTGATTACATCGTCTTCACATCTCTACTGTTCCTGCCTACTTTCTGTATTCGACTGAAGAAGCCTACTGTGTAGGCGAAACGTTTCGGAATAAAGTTGTCTAACTGTTGCATATGTGTCTTACCTAACAACCTGTCGGTATTGTATACCATTTTGATGTTCAGATCTTGCGATCTTGGCTTAAATAGCAACGTTCATCTTGCCATATAGGACAAGCGAAAATTTGTGTATGCAATAATTTCGCCAAAATCATTCTGAACCTAACGAGAAAAATATATTTCACTGTGTTTGTTTAGTATTAAATTATAGTAAACAAATCTAAAATATATTTAGTTGGGTTAGGCTAAAATAAATTGTTCTTGTTATAATAAGGTTAGGTATGTTTTCTAAGATTCTTTTGGTGCAAAATTATAATTTTTTACATCATCATTAATGAAAAAAAATATATCTTTAAACGTATAAGAGAAAATTTCAGAAAGGACTTAATTTTAAATGAGTTCTTGCTAATTGACCAGTTTTGCATATTCGGCACGACATATATATATATATATATATATATATATATATATATATATATATATATATATATATATATATATATATATATATAATATATATATATATATATATATATATATATATATATATATGTATATATATATATATATATATATATATATATATATATATATATATACATATGAGATATATGTCGTGCTAAATAGGCAAAATTGCGATTTTGGCTTAAATAGCAAGGCTCTTCTTGCCGAATAAGGCAAGCTAAAATTTGTGTATGCAATAATTTCGCAAAAATTATTCTGAATCTATCGAAAAATGTATATTTTTTTTGTGTTTGTTTATTACTAAATTATTGTAAACTTATCTAAAATATATTTAGTTGGATTAGGCTACAAAATTATTAATTTTTACATTGACATAAATGAAAAATATATCTCTATACGTATTAGAACATAAGATAATTTTTTTAAAAAGGACTTAATTTTGAATGAATTCTTGCTAA